CGGAAGGCATGGCGACCGGGCAACAGCCAGATTATTGCATCATTGCTGAGGCAAGACCATGATGTCTAGGGTTTAGGTTAGCTGCGAGTAGGTGAGGTCAGAACGCAGGGTCATGAGCAAGGACCTGACGACAGCCAGACTCTTGCATCATTTCTGACGCAAGACCGTGATGTCTAGGGGGTTTAGGGTTCGGAAGGCGTGCGACCGGGCAACAGCCAAATTATTGCATCTTTGCTGAGGCAAGACCATGATGTCTAGGGTTTAGGTTTATTAGGATTTGGGAAGCATGCTCACGGGAGCTGCGAGTATAGGTGAGCTCAGAACGCAGAGTCATGAGCAAGGACCTGACGACAGCCAGAGATTACTGCATTCTTGCTGAGGCAAGACCATGATGTCTAGGGTTTAGGTTTATTCGGGTTTGGGAAGCATGCTCACGGGAGCTGCGAGTAGGTGAGCTCAGAACGCAGAGTCACGAGCAAGGACCTGACGACAGCCAGAGTATTGCATCATTTCTGACGCAGACCGTGATGTCTGGGGGGTTTAGGGTTCGGAAGGCATGCGACCGGGCAACAGCCAGATTATTGCATCATTGCTGAGGCAAGACCATGATGTCTAGGGTTTAGGTTTAGGGTTGGGAAGAATGCTCACGGGAGCAGCGAGTAGGTGAGGTCAGAACGCAGGGTCATGAGCAAGGACCTGACGACAGCCAGACTCTTGCATCATTTCTGACGCAAGACCGTGATGTCTAGGGGGTTTAGGGTTCGGAAGGCGTGCGACCGGGCAACAGCCAAATTATTGCATCTTTGCTGAGGCAAGACCATGATGTCTAGGGTTTAGGTTTATTCGGGTTTGGGAAGCATGCTCACGGGAGCTGCGAGTAGGTGAGCTCAGAACGCAGAGTCACGAGCAAGGACCTGACGACAGCCAGACCATAGCATCGTTTCTGACACAAGACCGTGATGTCTAGGGGGTTTAGGGTTCGGAAGGCATGCGACGGGCAACAGCCAGATTATTGCGTCATTGCTGAGGCAAGACCATGATGTCTAGGGTTTAGGTTTATTAGGGTTTGGGAAGCATGCTCACGGGAGCTGCGAGTAGTGAGCTCAGAACGCAGGAGTCATGTTGCATCGTTTCTGACGCAAGACCGTGATGTCTAGGAGATTTAGGGTTCGGAGGGCATGCGACCGGGCAACAGCCAGATTATTGCGTCATTGCTGAGGCGAGACTATGCTGTCCAGGGAATTCAGAGTCATGAGCCAGGACCTGACGACAGCCAGACTATTGCATCATTTCTGACGCAAGACCGTGATGTCTAGGGGGTTTAGTGTTCGGAAGGCATGCGACAGGGCAACAGCCAGATTATTGCATCATTGCTGAGGCAAGACCATGATACGCGGGAGCTGCGTATAGGTGAGCTCAGATCTCGCTCAGAGGATTGAGAGTCACGCGCAATCTGGTGATGCACGACGACGATTCATGTGGTCTAGGCTCAGGGTTTAGCGTGCGTGCTCACGGGAGCTGCGTGTGGGTGGTGACCTCAGATCTCCCTCAAATTTCTGAGAGTCATGAGCAAGGACCTGGCGATAGCCAGATTGTATCTCTGATGCAAGACAGGTTTTCTTTCTTCTTGGTGGGTGCTTCGGCTACTTTTACGTGGTGGGTCGACACGATACACACCTGCCGCTGAATCATCTTGAGAGTGGCCCATGGTGACTTTTCTGGGCAAGGAGGCAGCGTGCGCGATGCGACGAGTCACTGTAGTACGGCCTCTCCATGGAGGTCCTCAACTGATTGCTTGGAGTGAGGTCCGCGACCATATGTGGCGTGGTCTTGAGTGTGTAGAGTGTATAGTGCTGGCGCAGTAGAAATTCACGGAGCTGTCCTCGGCAGCTTTGCATGTCAAGCGAAGGAAGCGAGGATGGACGACGAGAGAGTTAGAGAGAACGCGGCAGAGTCGGGATCGTATCGCGAAATCGCACGGCGAGCGTTCTGGAGCTTCTCTTGTGGGCTCCTCATCGCGGGGCGGGGGGGGCAGGGCGCCCTCACAAGGTAGCCGAGGAAGGCGTGAGTGTAGAAAAACGGCAGAGTTGCCGATCCGTCAGGGTCGCGCAAGTGACTTGTGCGCTTTGCATCCAGCTAGCACGTTTGCCGTCAGTGGAGCTTCTTGCAGTCGTAAGGGGAGTAGCCAGTGTGATCGGACTTCGACAAAGGCGCAAGGTATGTGAAGGGGAGAAAGAGTTTCCTGGTGCACTTGGCATGATTTATGTTGCGTGGTCATGTAGCGCTGGCAAACGTACTGTGTGTCTGCTCATGATGAGAAGCAGTCTCGAGAATGAGCAAGAGTCGCCGAGCTGGCCCGCAACTGAAGCAGAACATTGAAGCAGCATGTATTTGCGACAAGAAGCAGCAGATACATGGCTTGGAGTGTGCGCTTGCGGCCGCTTGCGCCAATCCCGACTATGCAGTAGCCCATGCAAAAACTGTACGTCTACTCCGGCTAGAGTCTAGAGCAGAGTCAACAATGCATGCTGAAACCAGCAATGTCTCCTCTCTCAGCAGTGTGGCCTCACCTGGTGCAGACGAAGATGTAGCCTTCTTGAAAAGATTGCTTGCTGCCAAAGAGGAAGAGTGTCGGCAGCACCGGCGAGAGCTACATCGTCTACGGGTGCTGTCAGCAGCCGCGTTGGAACACATCGCGGGGGCGCGCAAGCGAGTGGAGCTGAATCCCAAGGATGCTCTGGACAATGTCGAAGATATTCTGGAGGGCAGAGGCTTGGAAGCTTACTTTGAAGATCCAGATGAAGGACGTCGTGGTAATCTTGCAGACCGTAGTCAGGCGACGTGCAGCGACGCAGCAGCCGGGGACATGACTACGACGGAAAGCGCGCAATGGTATTCTCCGTCACAGCACTTCCGAAGGGACGAAGTGGTGGAGCTGGCTGCCACACTTCTGGATCCGTCAACGCAGGACATGTCGATGACGCATGCTTAGAGCTTGGCTGTGCACGGTGGGATGCAGCCAGATCATTTCACGCGCGTGTGCAGAAAGATGACGCATGATTCCTGTAGTTGCCTTTGATCGGTCGCTTCAGGCTGCGAAAGTAGTGATGCTGCAAAGACGCATGCGTATTGGGCTCCAGCAAGGAAGTGAACCAAGTGCAAGTAGCAAGAGTCCTCTCGCTTCGCTGAAATCTCGCCAGTTCCGTGTCTGCAAGCTGATAGGCTGGTGCGGGTGTGAAGCTTTGTGAGTGCATTCGCGCACGAGGTCTGTGTGTATGTATGTACATGAACACACGCTGCATGTGGCGCGAGCATGTGCAAGGCCATGTCGAACCTTCGCGTTCTTTCCGGCAAGAAGGCCTGGGCAGACTACGCCGTGGAGGCAAGGTCGATTCGCAGCATGGCGTCTGGCGCACAGATCGCGGAGTGAGCGCAGGAGGACGCCAAGGGCTACCTGGACGCACATGGCGCGCTCGCTGTGAAGACACCAGTCAGAGGCTGAGAGCAGAAGAGTAAGCGAACAAATTACGTGCAGGGGCTGCGCGGCTTATGTGGGCAAAGCGTTGAGGTCGGCTTCATCCAGATCAACAAGGCAAAAGAGGGCAGCGCTTGGAGGATGCAAGAAGCCAGTGTGTCGAGCTGGCGTCGGGTGTCGTTGCAGGCGTATCTGCAAGACGCCCGGCAGCCGCGCAGGGAATGCGTTCCTTGACCGCAGCGTGCGTTCAAGGCAAGCTTGGCCGGACATGCGAGCTTGCAGGTGCGCCCGCAATCAGGAACGTGCCGGAATATCGCCCAGGCTCATGTCACGGAACGAATGAGCTCGTAGTCGTGTCGTGAGACTTGCTTGTGCGCATAGACGGCGTCGAGAAGTAACAGTCTTGACCTTTGAAGGAGCTCAAGAAACAAAGAAGGAGCACGAGGTCGGGGTCTGGCCATGATGATGACGAAGTGTTGAAGGACGCGCTCATCGTGGCCGAAGCAGAGCGGAATCAAGGTCTGTATCTCCAAGTGGATTGGTGTGGCTTGGCTGGATTAGTGTTGCATGACGGAGCAATGAGTGGTGTAGCTTGTGTGAGTTACTTGGGAGAAGGGCGCAATTAGTTGCGGGTTTCTGTGGACATATCCTCCGCCGAGGCGAGCGCCGACGCTGGGGACTCACGAAAGCACAAACAATTGCCTACAAGAAATCGCGGCGTCCTCAAAGTCGACAGCCGTCAAGATGTCCTGCAGCCAGTCAATGTCGGTGCGGTTCGCAGTAGGGTCTTTCTCAGAGCGCACTGTCTCCCGAGGTTGCTTGCGTCGCCTCCGGACGCCGTACGCTTTGCCGACACGTGCTTGATTGACTCCCTGCGAGCCCTGGGCGTGCGGGTCCCGTACACGCGTCATGGTCCGTTCTGGGCTCTGAAGGAAGGAAATGAGTTTTTGAAGCCACGCAAGTGCCTCGCTTGCAGTGATTGCAACGCATCGAGCATCTGTCATAGGGAACATTTCGTGAAGACAGAAGCATTGCCAGTTGCCTGTGTGTCAGGCTTGGCTTGATAACAGATCCCGCAGTGCCGGGTGAGGATTGGGCACCTGGCAAGTACGTGATTTTCGTGGAAGGCTCGAGTCACTTCTATGGCATAGAGGTCTTCGAAGATGGAGAAGCCTCAATTTACATGTCGTGCAGGCGGCATGAAGGGCAGCCAGTTGATCTGCGCGCCCTGCATGTTGATCAAAGGTACAGAGTCGTACGTGCCGAGGAAGGTGAGCAGCCATTGACTTCCGCCGCTATACAGAGTGGCAACGGTCGGGAGAGTCTGCCGGTCGGTGCCAAGTGCGGGGAGGAAGTCGTGTCGTGGAGCGGGACGCTTGACATCTGATTGAGCAGGTCGGTTCATGATGATGTGCTGTTCTGTAAGGTACAAACGATTCTGATACTTTGTCCTGTATACAGACACACAGTCACAGTGGTGTGCGGGCAAGAGTCTTTCTGCAGGCCGCAGTCCGAGACGGCGCAGATGGGTGTGAGCGTGCAGAGTCCAAACTTTATGCAAGATAGACGAGGAGGTGCTGACGATTTTGACGCACAGTCTATCGGAACACTGTCTTCATGTCCGGAAGACTTAGAGGAAAGATTGGAGCCGCTCGCATGGGTGACGTATGCGTGCGAGAATGCTACATGGTTTATGGCCTTTTCTTTGATCGACAGCCTGAGCGCGAGACGGGCAGGGCCGTTGAGCTCAGACCAAGCCGCTGCATGGTTCTTGCACGTGTATGCAGCTCGCGCGCAGCCAAATTGTCTACATGAAGCGTTCGCTGCGTTGCCATGGCAAGTCCGCGTGGCCGTGCTAGAGTCTCCAGTGCTGACAAGCATGTGTCCTCTGCCACGCCGGGCCACGCTGCATATGCAAGGCCTCCTGGCGCGCGCAAGGTGTGAACAGCTCCCGAAGATTATGTGTTGCGCTTCAACCTTCTCCAATCTGTACGGCTTTGTGTGGCCAAGAGCTTCTTTGAAGGAGTGTCTCCTTCGGCTGGGCAAAGATGTGTGTGTGCAGTACCATTGTGTGCAAACTCCGGCAGCTTGCAATGCTCACTTCCACGCCTGCGGCTTTGTGCTGGCGACGTGGCCTTGTACGAAAGCATATCTGGCGGGCGAGTACGTTCTCAGCTGCAGAGGGGTGCATTCCTCAGTCCGTGTGTCGGAGTCTACAGCAGAATGGTATTGCGGGCATTTTTGGACGACGCTGCCCACGGCTGTCTGGATGCAAATGGCGGCTCTGGAGGAAGTTGCTCTTTGCCGTGTCGTTCGCTCGCAAATGTCGCCGGACCGGTGCGGTGGTTCATCTCACGCAGGCGGCGCTGACGGAACGGTGCCTGGCCTGCCAGCCAGTGGCTTCACAGTCAAGAAGTGGTGGGCAGACCTTATTCTTTCTGGGCGTAAAACTTGGGAGATCCGAGGTGAGGCAACCAAGAAAAGGTGTCGGGTCGCAGTCCTGGAGAAAGGTGAGACATCAGGCACGGCCACAATACGTGGCGATGTGGACATCGTCGACTGCGTCCTTGTGGGTCACTGGGACGGGCAGCAGTGGCAGGCACCAACGCGCCAGGAAGACTATCTATGGTCGGATGAGAACAAATGCAAGCATTGCATTCAGGACATGGAGACTGTAAAGTACCGAAATGCATATGCCTGGGTTCTGCAGACGGCCAAGAAGTACGAAAAGCCGGTCGATTTTCAACGACCGCGTGGCCCCGTGACGTGGGTGAGACTTGACAACTTGAAGCCGGGCGAAGGCACGAGCGGGACTCCTGGTGGCCGCAGCCATCGCAAGATGACAGGAGGGAAAGGGTTCGTTGGTGTACTTCAGTCCTCCATCCCACTTCCAGAAGAAGCTCGCAAGTGGTTGGGTCAAAAATGCCACGCAGTCGAAACACTGGGGGACGGCGCGTGCGGGTTGCACGCAATCTTCGGCGAGGAAGGCGTGACCGGGGCGTTGACGTGCAAGAACGCCCGCGAGTTGGCCCTGCAAGCCTTGGAAGCAGCGTTTGGTTCTGCGGACCCGGAGGCTGCACGCCTCAGAAGTACACTGTGGCGGGAAATGGCGTGCCGCGGCATGCAGGAAAGCGATCTGCACCCAGAGGCCAAGCTATTTTGGCGCGCTTTCGCAGACAAGTTTCCGGATGCCGCAGTTATGGCAAAGCAGGCAGCAGCTGAGGAAGCTGATCTGTCGGTGCAGGCAACGTCGTGTCGTGAAGCTCTGAGTCGAGCCTGCAAACTTTTTTTTCTGCAAGCGTCTTCCAGTGTGTTCGAGAAGTTCTGCCGTGCCATAGCGTACTGGACAACGGAGGGCCAAGAACCTTGTTTTCAGATGCAAGCTGGGCAGTGCATCGTCAATGGCACCCAAATGCAGCTGCCAGAAGGCGGCCCTCAGACGAAGCTGGAAGCCATCCGACATGAGGCGGAAGTTTTCGATGCGTTGCGAGTCGCCGCAGTGTTATTCGCAGATGCGAGCCGGGTTGTCACGGTGTTGCAAGAGCTGTCAGGGGAAGCCGAACATGCAGAAAACGTGGCTCGTGTTCTGCAAGATTACCGACGTGTGGCCGAAAGAACCTCCATGGAGCCCATCGACTTCCAGCAACGTGCAGTTGCAGCTTATCTAGCTGCGATCCAGCAGAACACGTACTACTTCAGCATCGAAGAACTGAAGATCATTTCCCGCCAGCTCGAAGCCAACATCTTAATCGCCAAGGAAGGTTCCTCGCAAGCTTTGACAGTGGAAGCCATCGTTCATTGCCATCGTGAGCAAGATTTCAAGACAATCGTTTTGAGGCAGGCGGAAGGGCCAGGCCCAGTTCGCAGCCATTTTGAACGCTTGCAGATGTTGGAACCGGAGAGTGACAGCGAGTCAGACGCAGAGCATGAACGGAAAGCTGGCGGAGAGAGTAGCAGAACAACTCCGACAAGCGGCTCGGACCGCTTTGAAGCAGATGTGGAGAGAATTCTGCAGGTTTTCGAGCGCGGGCAAGATGCTGTGGCTGAACTAGCAGCTCTGCCGCACTACAGCCCGGAAGTGGATGAGACGTCCTTTGAACATCTGCGCGCGCGGCTTGTACATTTGGTCCGAGCGTTTGAGATGGATCGGCTCACCTCAGAAGATACCGTGCAAGTCCAGTACCCTTTGTGGCGTACAGGCTTCTACCCGCTGGCAGTGCTCTTCGAGTGCTGGAGTCGCAGCACAGGCATCCCTGCGGTGTTCTACACCGACGCGTTTGCCAGCCTAGCTGGCAGCGTGCTGCACAAGGAAATCGGCGCTGACATCGCTGGCTTCACCACGCGTAGCAGGTACTGGTGTTGTGGTACTGCGCAGCCTGGAGGTGGAAAAACGCCTGCGCTTGAACCGATGCTGCGCATGCTGCGCGCTTGCATGAACAAGTTACCTCACTTCGCGCCTGGCAGCCCAGCAGATGCGTTCCACATGGTGGAGCCGATGACGCACGCGGCGGCCATCGCGAAGTTTCGCGACACAGATGGGTACGGGCTCATCGCTGCTGGTGAAGGCGGGCCCATGTTGTGTCCTGCGTGGCCTAGCAATGGCACGTGGACGCAAAACACGCACATCAACCTCCAGCGCTTGCTGAACGCCGCTCAAGGCGGAGGCGTGACGTGGGAAACCGTCTTCGATCGAAAAGATCGCAAAGCGGCGAGCGTGGAAGCCATTGGAGGTGCGGACAAGGCCGGCCAATGCGAGTGTACCAATGTGACGCTCGCACTTTTCCAACAGCTGTCTGTTTTTCGCAACTGGCGTCCGATCTGCATTTAGTCTTCTTGTTTTGTTGGTCGGACAAACTTGTGAAGTATTTGAAGCTGTAACGCGTCGGAATCGGAGTCGGAGGTGGGCGCAAGGCGAGCTCAAATCCAGCATCGGCCTCGCGCAGCGCTTCGTCTTTTCCTTCGGGGCAGTTCGGCAACCTGGCAAGCCGCAATGGCAGCAGTTCGAAGACACTGTCGTTCGGCCAATTCTCGAAGGCATTTTCAGCGTGTTGCTTCAACATCTGGGCCCCAAGACCGCCTTGCACGAAGCATCTGCGCAGAGAACATGGCGCTTGATGGGAAACCTCCGAGACGAGGTGCATCAGTACCGTCTCGCTGCTTTCGACTGCAACAAGTCTACGCACTTTGGTGAGGTCTTCGCAAGCGGCTTGAACAAAAGTGTGTACTGGGTAGCCACGGCGACCTTATGCTGCATTCTACAGGAGGCTTGGCCATCCGTGGTACGCGCTCGGCAGGAGCTCGTGAGGTGGACTGGCGCAATATCAGTGTCTTCTTTGAAGCAGGCCATGATTTTTTTTCAGGAACGGTACCTTTTCGGCCTGGCGACCTTGGACGTGGAAACGCGACGGCTGCAGAATAAGAAATCGCCTAGCTTTCCAGAAAGTCAGAATCAGGCGGGCGCGTAGCATGTGAAGCGTGTTTGACAATCAGAAGCATAGGTGTGATAATCTGAGTCGACGCCTGACAGGCCACCCTACTAGCCCGGCAGATTCTTGCGGCTTTTCCGGGCACCTCGTGGAAGAGGCAGTGGTGTCAACGACTTGGGGCACCCTTACGAGATCTGGAAAGCGATGATGTTGC